TGATAAAACCACTATTATGGTGATTGGGTCTCGGGTAAATAAACCATTTTGAGAACCTTAATGTTCCTGCAGTTGCTAAGGGTAATCTTTCAAAACGAGTTAGAGTGGCCAAATGTCTTGGAGTTTAAATCAATGAAGAATTGCATTGGACAGACCAAGTGGAGAGTTAGTCAAACAGTAGGACAGTCTAAGCTTGGCATGCTCTGAAGGGTCAAATCGTTTGTACCCACAGAATGCTTGACCATGTTTTACAACTCATTAGTTCAACCACATTTTGACTATTGTTGCCAGGACAGGTCCAATAGATTTCGCATGCATACCATCAAAATTGAAAAGCTCAAGAAACGGGTTTATTTATCACCGAGCTATCCTAATGTTTAAATGCTTAAGAAACTTGGCACCAGCCTACCCGACAGAAAACTGAAAACAAATTAATGAAATGCACAATGAACAATACCAGACATGCCTTGAAGTCACTTGCTACACCCAAAGGCTAAGATGGAATGTTTCAGAAATAGCCCGCTCGTTACTGGAATCAATGTCTGGAATAGTCTTGATTAGTCCTTCAAAACTGCTTCCTCTATTACTAGTTTTAAGTTTTCTCTTAGAGAATCTTCTCTAAGCAGAAGAATATTAAGTGGACCTTCGGTAACGCAATAAATTGCTGTGACAGAATAAAATCACAGCGAACCAGATTTTTGAGGTTGTGAATATGGTTTTTAAAAACCTTTCTAAGCTAATGACCATGAGGATGACCTTTAGTTCATCGCTGACTTCATAATTATGTGTTTCACATTCTTGTGAAAATTGCAGTTGCAAGAATATGTTGATTATTTACAGGAATAGAGGAAATAAATGAATTTCATTGCGCGAAAAAGGCTACTGCATATTTAATAACATAAGATTATTGACTAACAAAATCATCCATCAGACGTTTCATTTCCATCACAAAAGCTCACTGATGTTCCCATGTACGACCCTGAAAAATAAGCAAAACTAAGTTGCAGAAGGAAACATACGTGGACATGCACGGTGTAGTGTATTGACACTACATGTGTCTTGTTCAAGAAATACACTGGCAACATGGCGCATACCGAATGCCTATCCAATTCTTTGGGAAGGCGCAGCAGTACAGAGACTAAAGCTGCAATGAATTGAGTAACATCCGCGCTGAGCTAGAACCAAAAGAGGGCGTGTTCTTTGGTGCTGTTGTTTGATTGCACATGCAAACGGCACTCCTAATTCATCACGTAGGTGCCCAAGTTAAGGCACCTTTCCATTGCTACCAACACCTGTGCCACAAGCTGCGTATCCGACGAAATCGCTCCTGGAGCAACCCCGATGGGAGAACACAAGGCACACGAGCGTTATGTTCGATCACTCGAGTCCATGAAAGTGAAACACACGAACACACTGGCATGCAACGCACCCAAAACGTACACATGGAAAAGCGCCCCAAGGCGTTTGCGTGGGGCACACTGAGTACGTGCAACCAATTTACACTCAAAGCATCGTCTGCACATGTCAAGTTGCCGAGCGCACATACCAGAGGGTCTGTCTTGAACCCTAACCTGACCAAAGCTAGAAAATACCACTTAGCAGGAAAATGTAGTAATGTGACTTAAATGGGTGCAAGACCCCTTGTGCTCTGAAGCCATAAAAGACTAAAGATAAGACAATGGAAGTGCCCCAGCCAGAAGTAGGAATTGGTAGGGCTAGGTCCTTCAGCCTCAACTTACTAGGCAAAATATTACAGCACTGAGTCGAGTGTCCCAACTAGGCGATATGCCAGGGATTAGGGTTAACTGGCAAAGATGCAATTCAAAGTAGGACTAAAAGCACCTGTGCACATTCAGTCTGATTTATGTTTTTCAATTTTGAAATAAAATGTCTTCATTAGAGTCTGAAAATCAAGTTTTAAGAGTAAAAAACTTTATTTTGAAATTTCGTGTTCTGTTTCTGAGATATAACAGTTTTAATGTATAAGCTAACATGAGTAGAAAATAAAAAAGATTCACTTTTTTTTCAATGTAAAATATCTGCCAAGGCATTATCCCTACTATTTCCACTTTTGGGAATCTTTGAGTTTGCTTTTCTTTAATTTAGTTTTTGTAATGATATTTTGTGAAAATAGTGAATAAATCAAATCAAGCCATTTAATTACTTCCCTCGATAACGCAAAATGAACTCCAGCAGGTATTCCATTTATTTCATGAAGACGTAATTGGCAAACTGTAAACTCAACAATTTATTTCAGAAATTGACTGGCTTTTAAATTGGGGTATGAAATCAACATACATAAAATATAAAAGCACCCATAAAAAATACTTGTACAAATCACTGAAACCTTTGTTTATTCTTTATTTAACCCCAAATCAACAACAAAGATTGCTTTGATACCGCACCGGTACAGCAGAAAAAACAGTGCAAACGTTTATGCAAACACAGCCGAAGAGGGCGCTATGCATAAGTAGCGCCCTCTTTCAGACTTTGCTCCCGTTTTAGACTATTTCGGTGAATTCTCCGGTTTAAATCTTTTCAACCTAGTTTTCTGTATTTCGAGATGATGTTCAAACATGTCTGATATAGTTTTCAGGAATTTCGATCCTTTAATGTCCCGATATCTACTGATGTCTGGGTCAAATATGGTTTTAAACCACTGTGCCGCGTTTTCACCATCACAAAAAGGAACTCAATACAAAGGAAACCTGGACATGTATGGAACGAAAGGTAGTGACCAAATGTTATGCTTGTGCACCCTGGAGGTCTGACATGAAGAACAATCACGATGAAAAAACAAAGTCCCAAACGCTCAAAATGGCCCGAAATATGAGCAAGTATTACCTGGAGTATACACTTAATGTAGGCCCTAGTAGAATGAGTGGGAGGGGCACATCGGCCAACGAGGGCACAAGACACGCAAGACGAATGATCCTGGCGACTGGCTGGGCAAGCAACAGAGATTAAACCCCAGGCAAACATCAAGAAAGCTGGACATTTCCTGAATGTGACTCGCATTAAGGAGCAAAAACGTCGGACAGCAAGAGGAAGAAAGTGATCTTAGTCTAAGGCCAAGGGTCTTGTCTAAGAACCTGAGTCATATGCATCAAAAATTGGTAGAGGCCAGTGATACTGTGCAATAAAGGGTGGGATCATCTGTTTATGCTGAGGTACATGTACCAAAATCCCTACCATAAGATGGTAGAGAAGGGCTCGTCTGGGAATGGAAATTGATTACCCACTTCTGTAAACGATAGATTAACCCACTTGAAAATAGAGAGGCAATCCTCATCAGTGGATGGATGAGAGGAAAAGATGCCTCATAAGGAGATCTGGAACAGTATTGACTCCTTTGCGTCAGCGGGGACCACTCACGAGAAGAGTTTGGATTTGATGTCAAACCAACAAGAGAGAGAGCGAGACTGTAAATGGGCACGAGTATCACGCCGGAAATCCCATTCGGTAGAACGGCTGGGGCGAGCATGCATGGCATGGCAGTCGTCAGAGTGACATTGTGGAAGTGGCCCGACAATCCAGGGGGGCAACTACATCATGAGCCCTTGCAAAGTGTGAAGAAATCCCCCGGATGAGCTATATAAAACGGGGATAGTTCATGGGGAGACACTGTTGAAAACGCAGGATATTTGTACCCAACTGGCAAGGGTTGTTTGGAAAATAAGACCAAGCACTAATTAATGTGAACGAGGTTGAAACTGCTCCGTCTGACCTGCAACAAAATGGCCGTAATCTCGTGGCTAAAATGTGATGACGATATGGGTGCTCCTAGACTCTGGTGACTAGGCAAGGCTCGCTCGCGTTCAGTATGTTGCATCGAGTGCTGGGTCCCTCCCTCCTGCATGTGCATGGACGTCACATTCCACTGTTTCCATGTGCCCACATGGGCTACCAAAGGTGTGCAGGATTTGCCAGGGAGTAAGCTCTGCTCGAGACCAGTTAAAGGTTCGGCCCAGGAGAATTTTTCAACCGTTGAACCCGGCAGATCAGACTTGGTTGATATGGTGGAAATATCATGCTTGAAGGGCCGATCAGGCTGGAGGGACCGGGAAATTTGCCTGGAACGTGGCTTGAATTTACAGTTCTCTGTCGAATACAGCAAGATTGCATATGAACGTGAAGCTCCATTGTACTCAGATTTCGTATGATATGGACTGCGCACGTCCCTGAAAAAACTAAGACAAGTCTTAGTGCTACGCAGCCTTTTATAGGGGACAGGCAGTGGGCATAGAAGTTGTGGCTTGGGCAACTTTTTCAGTGAGGTTTGTCAGGCAGGCGCGCTGATATACAAATGTAGGTAAACAGAGGCGAGTCGTTTTCTGTAATGGAATACCTCACCTTTACAGTGAAC